GGCTGAGGTGGAGGGCAAATGTTTTGAGAATGACGAGGGCAGCTAATGTACATATGTGCTTGACACATTGGATGGATGTATTGATGGTGATGAGAATTGTATGTGCCCCCAATAAAATATTTTTTTTAAAAAACTGTCAAAATTGCATGTCTATGTGTAGAAAATGAAACAGGACCCTCTCCTCACACTATAGGAACTCAAAATGAATCGAAGACCTAAAGATAAATTCTAGAACTATAAGGAGCACAGCAAAAATAGACAGCACTGGTGATCCTGATATATGACATAAAGTACCAACATAATGAAAAATGCAGACAGCAGAATATGAACTAAATAAATGGGAACACTAAAAAAATAAATCGTATGCTTATCAAAATAGTTCCCCAAATGAGTAAAAGATCTATTTAGGCTAGGACAAGCCTAAGACATATCTGACAAGAGACTAATCTCTAAAATTTTAAGAGAAAGGTTCAACAAAAAAAGGGCAAACAATGTAATTTTTACATAGGAAAAGGACAAGAACAGTTACCTCACCAAAGAAGGCATTAAGGCAGAAGAAATGAAGAAATACTCACCTTTACCATTAAAGAGATGCACATCAAACATACAATGCAATACCTTTTCACCAGACAATAATGACACTAAGCAAAACAAACAAGCAGAAACTGGGAAATGTCGGAGAAGTGGTAGGGGGATCCAAATGAAACCAAACTCATGGCCATGGCGTTGATTCCAACTCATAGCGACTGTGTAGTGCAGGGTGGAGCTGACTGTAACAGTCTAAACTCCATTCAAAACTGTTTGGTGCTTCCTTAAAATGCTAAAAATACCATAGGACTCAGTAATTCTGCTCCTTGGGATATATAAGTATGTATATGTTATATGTACAAGTATATATATTATATATGTAATATTTGAGATTTCAACTTTTCAACTAAGTATTGTTATTCAATGACATTAATTATGCTCATCATGCTATGCAAATATTACCATTATCCATTTCTGATTATCAGGTATTTTATCATATAGTCCTTACCATGATTTATCTCTTTCATAGATTAATAGCATCCCGATAAGGAACCACTCACAGAATAAGATAACCCAATGTAGTCTTCAATCCGAAAAATTCAAACATAATTCATGCCTTTTCTCCAAGGACTGCTTTTTAGGGTTGCCGGATTATTATCCTAACTCTGATATATACAACCAATGATTCCCAATTCCAGCAAAATTAAATTCTTTCCATATACATCTTTTCCCTTCTCAGCCCTTCTCTCACTTCTGATTTTGACATTTTTGTTTTATTATTGATGAAAATATTGAACATTGTGAACACAAATGAGATCATGTATAGTGGATAAGTAGTGTAAAACATATGAGTTACATAACCTGTCAATTTGCACTTGGATTTAAGATTACTCTCAAAATGATTATTTTGACATGGTTTAAATTGAAGAGTGCAGAATTTTATGCGGAAGGGTTGGGAATTGGTGCTTTGACCTAGATGGAGGATAGGTAGAAAAGCAGTAGACTCATATTTTAATGATTTTAAAAAGGCTTATGTGATTTAATAAAAGTCCCGTTGATGCTAAGAGTTGGATACTGGGCTATTAGCCATAAGTTCTATGATGCAAGCCCATTACCACTCTGTAAGTAATGTCAAGCTGTTTGTTCCTGTAAATATTACACTCTCAAAGGCCCTGTTAGACATGCCTTCATAATATTTAACAGTTTTTGCCAACATTATAATTCAAAGCCACCAATTATTCAGTCTTTCTTATTCAGTGTCAGCGTTCATATTCATATGAGGAAATTGAAAGTGACGTCTTTGCTTTTTAAATATTTTAAAGAAATATTTTTTAACAAAACTGCCTAGTGGAGCAATTTATTTGATTTTCTGACTACTAGTTCCATTGATGTGAGCTGTAAAATGAAATTCTTGATCATTCGGATGTTCATTAACCAGGGTCTGCCTGTGTGTTTATAGATAATGCAAAGTAATAAAGACCATGGACGTGCAAATGGTGAACTTTTGAAGATGGAATGATGAATGAAAAAGGAAGGAATTGATGCTGAAATTGTAAGGAATGAGAGAAGTCAGAATATGTGGTTATCTGGGATCTTATTTTTATTGGTAATATAAAGCCAATAATGGGTTTTATGTTGAGAGATTTGACATTCAATATATATAGTTTGGTATAGTTCTATCTTCTTGTGGGGAGAATAGAATAGAGCTGGAGTGGAAAAGAGAGGCTAGTTTGTTGTTAGAATCAGTCTGAATTTATTAGTGGTCTATTAGTTGGTGCTTACTCACTTTAAAAATAGGTCTTCCAAAGGGAAAATACAAACTTAAGATTTTGCAAACATTTGTCAGGCCACGCCCTTTGGTGATTTTGTTTTTTAAACAATGACGTACATAACTTGAAAGTCAAAATGACGTATTGCAAAGCAAGCTCACTGCCGTCCAGTCAATGTCCGCTCATGATGACCTTGTAGGCCAGGCCAAGAGCTGCCCTGGTAAGTTTCCAAGACAGTGACTGTTTGCAGGAGCAGGAAGTTGCACCTTTCCCCAAAAGAGTAGCTGGTGGTTATATATACTCCCTCCCACTCTCCTTCCCCCCACTTTTTCAGTACTTTTTGCCTATCTGAAATGTGTCCTTGGGTCACCTCTTGTATTCTGAAAAATTCTATGTCATGTTTGTCAACAGATTTAGATAATAAATTCTGGGTATCCAATTTTGTTCCACCCACTCTGTACAGGAAATGAATGGCAATCTGCTTCTATAAAGATTGATAGTTTTGGTAAACCTCTGGAGCAATTATACTCTGTCACCTATGACCATTGTCAGGAGGAATTGACTACAGCAAGGGACAATTTTGTGCATATATTATCTTCCAAAATCTACATGGAAGAATCTCCCCCTTTCTTGCAAAGATCTACTCTAATGGAGATAAAACTTTGAACTCTGCCATATATCACCTTACCAGAAAAATATTTTTAAAGTGCTGTATTTCATTGTAGTTATCATTGATTGCTAGTGGCCTTATGGAATACTAAATGTAAACAGAACATTAAATGCTTAGTCAAAAAATGGCATACTAGAAATATCTGCTGTGAGTTTAGGATATGAATGTTTTTAGCATATATTTACCACCTTCACTTCTCTGTAATTATTTTCAGAGGGTTATGACAGTTGGCTACCAGTTGTGCAAAACAGAACAAGAGAACACTGCATGGTTTACAATCAAGAAAGCTGCTATTAAGGATTGTAGCCTTTCACTGTACTTATTCAAACTGTATTCAGAGAAAATAGAGAAGCTGGATTATATGAAGAAAAATGTGGTTTCAGCACTGGAAGAAGGCTTATTAACAACCTATGATGTACAGATGATACAACCTTGCTTGATGAAAGTGAGGAAGAGTTGAAATGTTTGCTGATGAAGATGAATGATTGCACCCTTCAATAGGGATTACAGCTCAATGTAAAGAAAACTAAAAGCCACACAACTGAACCAATAGGTAACATCATGATAAGCAGCTAAAAGATTAAAGTTCTTAAGGATTTTGTCTTGCTTGGATCCACAATCAATGCTCATGGAAGCAACAGTCAAGAGATCAAACAATGGACTGCATTGGGTAAATCTGCTGCACAAAATGTCTTTAAAGTGTTGTATAGCAAGGATGCTCCTTTGAACACTGAGGTGGGCCTGACCCAAGCCTTGGTATTTCCCATGGCCTTATATGCATGTGAAAGTTAGGCATTAGATAAGGAAGACTGAAGAATAACCAATGTATATGAATTGTGGTGCTGGCAAAGAATATTGAATTTCCATGTACTACCAAATGATCAACAACAACAACAAATACATTGGCAAAAGTACAGTCAGAATGCTCCTTAGAGGCAAGGTTGACAAGATTGAGTCTCACTTACTTTTGACATGTTTTCAGGAGAGACGAGACTGTAGAGAAACACATCATGCTTGAGAAGAGAGAAGGTAGTGGAAAAAAGAAAACCCTCAAGGAGATGGATTGACATAGATAGTATCTACAACACTGGGCTCAAACAGAAGAACAATTTCGAGGATGACAAAGGACCTGGCAATGGCTCCTGTGGTCTGCGTAGGGTCACTGTGATATGTAATCAACTGACTGGCATGCAATAACAATATAACTGTTGGAGAACTAGTTGAAAAGTTTCCATAGGTGATGTAAAAACAATGCCAATGAAGTAATGTTATTTTTTGCTATTCAGTTGTTGCTGTTACTTGCATTCCTGTATGCCCAACTCATGGTTATGCCTATAATAGGATAGGACCACTGTGAGTCACAGGGTTTCTATTGGCTTCTTCCTAGTCTTTCTTAACCTGGAAGTTCTGCTGAAATTTGTTCAGCATCATGTGGTTGCTGTTTTTAGGTGCCCTCAAATCATTGCAGACAAATTGTTACTTTATGTACAAAAAACCCAAACACTGTTGAGTCCTGTACCATCTTCATAATAGTTATATTTGAGCTCATTGTTGTAGCCACTGTGTCAATCCATCTCCTCCTGGTTCTTCCCTTTTTTTTCCTGGCCCTCTTATTTAACAAGCATTATTTCCTTCAGAGATTGGTCCCTTCTACTAACATATCCAAAGCATATGAGAGGAAATCTTGCCATCGCCCACTTCTAAGAAGCATGCATATTGTATGTACTGCAAACAGAATTGTTTGTTCTTCTGGAAGTTGATGGTACTTCTAATATCCTTCACCAACACCATTATTCAAATGCAACAATTCTTCTCTGGTCTCCCTTAGGTATTGTCCAGCTTTTACATGTACTTGTGGTAACTGACATATTCATGGTTGAACTGCAGCACACCTGACTCTTCAAAGAAACACCTTTAAATTAACAGTTTAAAGAATTCTTGTGTGGCAGATGCCCATTGCAATATGCTATCCATTTCTTGACTACGGTTTCCTGAGCATTGCGTGTGGATCCAAGTAAAATGAAATCCTTGACACCTTAAATCAGCAAACATTCAAACTTCCCCTAACTTTTAAGTGGTAGCCATGTCTGCGGTGCAATGGCCAGCAATCAATCCCATCTCTCCCATTTGAGAGTTAAGATTTTCCCACTGAAACAGTATTGCCTTCATTGTTCTTCAGTCAGCTGTTAGTATCGCTGTTAATATTGGCTTCTATTGAATTGAACTGTTTAGTCCTTGCTAATTATGTATAGTTTTTGCCCTAAAACAATACATTTGCCTCCATGATCTTCCTATTATACTTTATATTTTATGATGTTTTACATGACAACAAATGACTTAGTGAAATTCTAAATCTTCGGAATGTTGGACTCCAAGGATCTTATCACTTTTAAGTAAGGAGCTTGAGGGAAGCACAGCGCAGGCTCTCTTCTCCTTTATATCTTAAAAGGGCAGTGTTCTTTACGTTACAGAAGAATAAGTCTACGAATCATCTTCTAAACCTTTCTTGGTGTCTATACTGCTTATTTAAACTATACATGAATAAAAGCCTCCAATTACCATATTAATTAATAAATATTTAGATTTATAAAATCGAGTTAATAAAATTAGAGCTTTCCCAAATCCATTATCTGTGATAAATATGATAGGTAGGAAACATTCTATAAATATGCTCATCCTCCCCATACCAATGAGACCAAGTGCTTTCTAGAGAAATTTTTAGAGAAGATTCACATGACTGATAAACTTGATGAATTCGTACTCCACTTAAATAATGAGAGAATTACCCTTTGCCCTAAACCCATGGGAAAACCAACACGTTTATTTTAACAATCCCCTCTGGTGATTGATTACCGGTCTGCATCTTCTGTACATCTTTCCTATCATTTTTGTTTTTAATCTAAAGATTATAGTCATGTGTATTCCTGGAGGTAAATCAGATAACCCATATATAATCAAAATCTCACTATCTGCATCTCATTGAAGAGGTTATGAATCCACTATAACTGGTAGGTTAAACTAGTAACACTAGCAGAATATTATTTTTTGTGTATTCTGATAGAATAGATATTTTACATAAAAATAAAGCTGAACGGAAAACACATTATTTTGATGAAGAGAGCAACAATATAAAGGTAATCTTGGTTAGCTAAGTATCTACAAAGCTGCATCCAATTTCAGCAAGAAACAGAAGAGCTACTCCACAAGTGATACACAAATGTTGCTCACATCTGAGTGAGAGGGGTCAGTTTTATAGTCTGAACTTGAGCTTTTGGAATATGAACATGATTATTTTAATCCATGGGGAAAAACTATAAAATGCCTTAGAAAATATGAATGAAAAATTAGATTCTTCCTTTACTAAGTTTGTGATATTAGATTCTTCCTTTACTAAGTTTGTGATAAGTCTGAAATTTGATATAACATTTCAGATAAAAAGTAAAACTATCACAAAATTTTTAACAGTTGACTTATCTTTATGTTCCTACATGGAGTATTTATTTTAATTTTTTTTTAATTATGGAGCACTAAGTGATAGATGCCTTACATTCAGCAATTTTCTTTTCATTTTACCCTGAATTCCACATGTACTTCTTTGATCTATGGCTTTTTAGTCAACACAGTTGCCTAATTTTGCTGCTAAGATATTCACTAAAAAATAATTTTGCAACTATAGACTAGTTCCTATTCATCTAAACCCACTTGTTCTTTTCCATGTAACAGTTAAACAATTCTTCTAATATGTTTTAATTATTTTAATGTTTGAGAAAAAGCCCTTTGTGCATTTAGGTATAATAATTAGGTTTTATCTATTAAGTTTAAAAGTATATTATTGAATTATGTAGTCAGATTGGTTATATTGATAAGTACTTACCAAACATTTCCTTTGGTGAAATTATAAGTGAATATTATCTATGGGTTATGAATTCAGACTTTAATTTTTTAAAAAGAAAAGAAAAGCAAACACTCATATTGACTAGAAATGATGTATCCCTAATTCATACACACACACCTACATATATGTTAGCTATACATTTCAACATGCACTAGCTCTCTTGTTTAAATACTTTTGTGGAAATGTATGAAAATGACTGTCATTGAATACAAACACATAGCTTTGAATATTCTTTACATAATTTCTCCTTACCACCAAAGTTGAAAGAAATGAAGTGATTTCTTATCTTTAAGTCATGTATAAGGCATTAGAAGCAATTCTCCTTAATCACAGGGCATTCACTCCATTCTCAGAGTTAGCTCTGTCAAAGATAACAAGCCCTAGTTAATCCTTTTTATTCCAATATATCTCATTCAAGTTCATGCTCACTCCAATGTCAATTAAAAGTTTGGTTTTAGGTACCTTCAAGTCAAATCAGATTAATAGCTGCAGCCCTATGTACAACAAAAGAAACACTGCCCGGTCCTGTATCACGGTCACAATCATTGGCTAATTAAATACATACTATTAAATATTTAATTTTCCATTTGAGGTTAAACGGTTTAAAAAGGAGAATTTTTATTGGTTTTTATTTGTATTTGTATCTTAATAAAAGCATTTTTCATACATTAAATCCTGATGAATGTTATCATCTATCATAAAAATTTTGAAGCCATGTATATAGCTGTTATTTTTTAAAGCTTGTAATTTTTAAACATATTTTACATGATACATGTTCTTTTCTGTTTTTAATTTTCAAAATTTATGCATATAACTTTAAACCCTGAAATTACTTGTATAATGCTTCTCAAGATTTTTATCTTTAAGATTTAGGACTTTAAGATTAAGGACTGAATTGCTTTGAAAATAATTTCACAACTAACATGTAAACTCAATTACTACATAAATAAGAATATCAATTTTTATGACAATTCCTTATAAAGAAGGCAATGTGATAATTTTATAAGTTAGAGTTGATAGAGAAAATGCTTTCATTAATACCAATTCTTCTTAACAATCTTTCAGGAAAAAAAAGTTTTCATTGATCTCTGAGTCTGGGTATTCTCATAATTATTAGAAAATGAGAGGGTATTAAAAAATATAATTTTGTCAATACACTTGCACAGCACATAGACATGTACAATGAAGTATTCAGATATATCTACATCCAAATAAGCCTTACATTCTATGTAGTTGAAGAGTTGATATTTTATTCTTACATAAAAATAAATCAATGTTCAAAATAGCTAAGCAGATTTCCTTAGTAAATGTTGAGGCTAGGAATAGAATTTGAATCTGAAATTAATTCATTTTTTAAAGGAAATTCTGATATTTTAGTTAAACAATGTCTTTTGAATATCTGATCAATTATTAAGCAAAAAATTTGAAATTCAGACCAGATTTTCCACATTCCAGCCTTCTGCTTGAGAACTAAAACATATAATGAGTGTGTGTATGCATAACAATTTTTTAAAGTACAGAGGGAAAAAGAGAAATGAAACTAGGGCAAAGAAACTCATGTCAAGTTGAGACCAGTCGATTATAGAGCTAGGAGCAGAACTGAGCCAACAGTGGCAGCACATAGTCTGTAGTTCACACACAGAAAATGTAATGTCAGATGAAAGCATTGTATGAGAGAAAATAACCATTCCAGTAGGAAGGGAATGAGTTACTCAGACTCTATAAATACAGAGTACTAAAGAACAAGAGAAAAATAACACAAAACAGGAGACTAACAACTCTAAATTCAGAAAAATGGTCAAAGGAAATTGGAGTTTTTTTAGGAATCAAAGTACAAGTCACAGAGTATCCATGAGAAACAACTTGGGCACTAGGAAACATTTGTCCTGCTATCCAGAAACTCCCTGCTTGCTAGGTGCCATTGAGCCGGTTCCAATTCACAGTAACCTTCTGTGACAGCAGAAGAACACATCACCTGTGCAATTGTTACTATGTTTGAGCCCACTACTGCGGCCACGGTATCAATCCATGTCATTGAGGGCCTTCCTCTTTGTCTCTGTCCCCTTACTTTACCAAGCACGATGTCCTTCCCCAAGAACTGGTCTTTCCTGACAACATATCTAAAGTAAGTGAGATTAAGTCTTCCCATTCTTGCCTTTAAGTAGCATTCTGTTTGTATTTCTTGTGAGAAAGATCTGTTCCTTCTTTGGGCAGTTCCTGGGACTTTCAATATTCTTCACAAAAAAAACATTATTCAGATGCATTGATTTTTCTTTAGTCTTCCTTCGTCAATGTCCAATTTTTACACGCATACGGGATGATTGAAAATACCATGGTTTTGGTCAGGCACACCTTAGTCCCTGCAGTAACATCCTTGCTTCCAGCACGTTAGAGAGGTCTTGTGCAGTAGATTTCCCAGTGTTATTTGATCTCTTGACTGGTGCTTCCATGAACATTGATTGTGGATCCAAGCAAGATGAAATCCTTGAAATCTTCAATCTTTTCTCCATTTACCATGATGCTCTCTATTGGTCCATTTGTGAGGTTTTTTGTTGTCTTTGCAATAAACGTCTCTAGAACATTTATTTAACACTAATATAATTTTGGAAGAGGTAGCATATTAAGAACCTATTACAGACTATGTCCAGCTTAAAACTTGGAGCAAATGAAATCATTGGTATATCTTTTTGGCATGGAAGAGAAGGCTAAGAATAGAGGATATCTGGGAGGAGAAAGAATCATAATTTGCTGAGTTAGGTGTACCATGTCTATACATGTTAAGTATACCATACCTGTGCATACTTGAACATTTCCAATTGGAGGAGGAGACAGAGGGAGAGACAACTGACTACTTTTACCCACTGCCATCAAGTGGATCCTGACCCTTAGCATCCGTTTATGACAGAATAGTACTGGTTTCTAGGGTAAGGAAATGTTTACTTGAGCAAACAAGGATGGGACGATTTCTTTACTGAGGCTGTAAATCTTTGCTCGAGCAGAGAGCCTCAGCTTTCTGCCCCCAGAGTGGCAGGTGAGTTCCAGCCGCTTGAGGTGAGCCGTCCACTGCAACTCACTACACCCTCAGGGATCCTATTGAATATAATCCCCAAACCCACGGTCATAGTCGGGTAGACTCCAGAAGAACCTACAAAGGTTTCCGAGGCTGTAAATAAATCCCTACGGGAGCAAACTGGAGTGACCTACCGACCTTGTGGTTAGCAATCCAGTGGCTACCATACAGAGGCAGCTTTGGGGCACCAAACGTTAAATGATATTGTGTTATTCACTTGAACTAATTCAGTTGACTAGTAGTCCTTTGACATATTTTGAGCATTTAATTCAGGAATCATAGAAGAAATACATTCATATAAAGTCATAATCTACATGTACAGAATTTGACAATCATGTTCACCATTGGCAGGTTTCTGGATCTTTAAATATGTAGTGATTTAACTATTGCATGCATTAGTCAGTTAAATGTCCATTTAAACTGCATTTTTTCAGAAATTCCCAACTTCTCTATTTCTCTCTAGGAATGAAATATTCACTTTCTATGTCTCTATAGCTTCAAGAACAGGTTAAATGGTGACTTTTCCCAGATGACCTCCTACACAAACTAATGGATACGACGAATCGCACAATGATATCTGAGTTTGTTTTGCTGGGACTCTCCAGCACTTGGGAACTTGAAGTTTTCTTTTTTTTCATATTTTTGTTGGCCTATGCAGCAATCGTGGCAGGAAACCTTCTCATTGTGGTCACAGTAACCTTTGACTCTCACCTGCACTCCACACCTATGTACTTCCTCCTTGGAAATCTCTCCTTTCTTGATCTGATCATATCCACAATCACAACCCCTAAGATGATCACAGATTTCCTGAGTGAGAAGAAAACGATTTCCTTGTGGGGCTGTATGGCTCAGATGTTCTTCCTCCACTTTTTAGGAGGGGGCGAGATGACTCTTCTCATCGTTATGGCCGTGGACAGGTACATTGCAATATGCAAACCTCTTCACTACACAACCATCATGAACCGCCGGGTACTTACAGGCTCTGTGCTGCTGTCATGGGGCGTGGGTTTTGTGCACACGATGAGCCAGATGGTTTTTACTATCACCTTGCCTTTCTGTGGCCCCAATGTAATAGATAATATATTTTGTGACCTACCTCTCGTTCTGAAACTTGCATGTACTGAGACCTATGTTCTGGAATTGCTGGTCATTGCTGACAGTGGACTGCTGTCTTTCGTCTGCTTCGTGCTCCTTCTCATTTCCTACACGGTCATTCTGGTGACCGTCCGGCAACGATCCTCTGGTGGACTCTCCAAGGCTCTGTCGACTCTGTCTGCTCACATCACTGTGGTCACTCTGTTCTTTGGGCCATGCATCTTCATTTATGCGTGGCCATTTAGTAGCTTTTCAGTGGATAAATTTCTTTCTGTATTTTACTCGGTCATCACACCTTTACTGAACCCCATTATTTATACCCTGAGAAATCAGGAGATGAAATCAGCCATGAATAGACTAAGGAAACAGCATGTAAGTTCCAGACTGAGCCTCTAAGTAATAATAATGAAAATGAAACTTTTACTAAAAACCCATATAAATTACTTCTCAGAATAAGTTCAATTCATTTTGTGTACAGATTTTTTTAAAATGCTCATCATGTATATTAAAATCACTGGTGTTCCATCATTATTTTTGTAACATTTTATTGAAATGATAATTACCTCAATGGAAATTCAATTCAGTTTTGGAGTAATATATATTTTTATTGTAATAAATATTAAATAGAAAATCTGTCTCGTTAACTATAGTTGGAAACCTAGAACTACATAAGATTATTATTTTTTAAATAAAGAGAAATAAAGTGTGTTTGAATACTTTTAGTTTAGAATCAAAGGTCTTTTACCCATGTCCTTTAAATGGCTAAATGTGCACAAAATTGTTTAAACTCATCTCATCCTACAAGTACACACACATACACCCCTATTTTTAGGAATCTTTATATATAAAAGGATTATTATTATTTAAATTGACATAATTTCTAGATATTTTTATTTGTTTGTTTTTTAAAAATAGTTTTATTGTCATATACTTTACATATCACAAAATTAAATCATTCACTGATAATGAGTTGTGCAGTGCAACCATTACCACAATCAATTTCAGAATATTTTTTTCTCATACTCATTATTATTAGTGACCCATTTCCCCAAATCTTCCCTTTTCATGCTCCTAAGTAATTATTAAAGTAGTTATGGTCTTTATAGATTTATTGATCCTGGATTTTACATACAGAAAATCATACAAAACACAAACAGGAAGCAAATAAACAACATAGAAAAACCTTAATAAAAAACAAAGAATATACTATTAAAAACTAAAAAAATTTTAAAATGGGTCAAAAGGGAGATCAAAGTACAAGGTATTATATTTTGTAAAAGTAAACAGGCTAGTTTCTAAAAGTGGAAGGACATATATGAGAGCTCTTCATCCACTGACATGAAACATATTTATTTCATTCTGTTAAAACCAAATTCCACCCAGCAAATTTACATGGAGCTTCATTCAGCATTCATGCATATTTACTGTCACACATCTCTTAAGAAGCAATACAGGCTTTCCCCAAGTTCTGAACAAGATTCATTTCTATATGTGTCTTTAAGTTGAATTGCAGGTAAGTTGAGACCAGACTTTATGGTTCTTATTTTGCTTTAATTTAGTACAAGGTGGCCCCGTGATAAAAAGCACTTATCTGTGAACCCTAACATTAGTACACGAATCCACTATACACTCCATTTAAGAAAAACATGGCAGTCTACCTGTGTAAAGATTCACAGCCTTGTTAACCCAGTAGATGGAACAGTTCTATCCTCCTGTAAGGTCACCAAATGGACTCGAGGGGAGTGGCTTTTTTGGTTAAAGCAAGAAAATGCTTGGTTGTTTCAAACATTTCAAAGTGAGAGTAATTATAAATAACATTAACGGTCAAGTAGGAGATACTCATAAGCCTGATATTCATAACCTAGGGACGTTCAGTAAAAGCATTAATATGATAATCCCTGTGGGAACAGAATAAACGATGAAGATTCTATCTTCTAAGCATTCATGCCACAACCTAAGGAGCTGGAGTACTGTGGCCGGTCGAGTTTCACTGAGAAAGTCAGAAAACATATTTATACGTGAAGTTAGATCTATGATCTGTGGCCAATAAAATAAGTAGATATTGTCTACTTATGAAACTCAAAATGTCATTATTTTCCCCATATACCTAGTAACCCTTTCAGCTGCATTACTAGGGAATATTGGGCATATCTGTATCTATTTCTGATGAGCTGTGACAGTCATCTTCACAGTATTAATTTGCTTAAGCCCAATGTTGCAGCCACTGCATATCAATCCATTTGCCATGGGCCTTACATTCTTTTTACCGTCCCTCCCCTCTACTGGGGAATAGTATTATCTCCCAGTGACTGGTTTCTCCTGACAACATGTCCAAAGTACATGAGATGTAGTCTCACCATCCTTGCCTGTAAGGAGCATGCTGGACGTACTTCTTCCAAGACAAATTGTTCTGTCCTTTTGGCAGTCTGTGGTAGTTTCAATATTCTTCTCCAGCACCACAATTCAAATGAATCCATTGTTCTTTGATTTTCCTTATTCAAGGTCCAGCATTCACATGCATATGAGGCAATTGAAAATACCATGGGTCAGGAACACCTTACTCCCCGAAGTAACAGCCTTCATTTTCAATACTCTAAAGAGGACTTGTATAGTGGTTACGTGTTGGGCTGCTAACTGCAAGGGCAGCAGTTTGAAACCAACTACTTCTTTGGAGAAAGCCAGGCCTTTCTACACCCATGAAGAGTTATGGTTTTGGAACCCACAGGGGCAGTTCTGTGTCCCACCAGGTTGCTCTGAGTCAGCATCCACTGGATAGCAGTGTTTGTTTTTTTTTTTGGAAAGAGATCTTGTGCAGCAGGTTTACTTGATGTAATATATCTTTTGAACTCTTTACTGTTGCTTCCATGAGCATTGATTGCGGATCCAAGCAAGGCAAACGTTGTTACGACTTCAAACTTTTCTCCATTTATCATGATGTTAACTATAGATTCACTGGTGAGGATTTTGGTCTTCCCACACTGAAAGCTGAAAATCCTTGATGTTCATCAGCAAGTGATTCAAGTCCTCCTCACTTTCAGCAAGCAAGGTTGTATCATCTGCAAACCACAGGTTCTTAATAAGCCTTCTTCCAAACCTGATGCTGATTCTTTTTTTATATAATACAATTTCTCTGATTATTTGCTCAGCATATACATTGAATAGGTATGGTGAGAAGATACAACCCTGATATACCTCATTCCTGATTTTAAAACATGCATTATTCCCTTGTTCTGTTCACTCAACTACCTCTTCATCCACATACAGGTTAGACATCAGAATCCACATACAGGTTAGACATCAGCACAAGGGAGTGTTCTAGGATTCCGATTCTTCTCAAGACTGTCCGTAGTTTGTTATGGTTCACAAAGTCAAATGCCTTTGCATAGTTAATAAAACACAAGCAAACTTCTTTCTGGGATTCTCTGCTTTCAGCCAAGAACCATCTGACATCAGCAATGATATTCTTTGTTCCATGTCCTCTTCTGAATCCAGATTGGTCCTCTGGCAGTTTCCTTTCATATACTGTGGCAACCTTTGTTGGATAATCTTCAACAAACTTTTACTTAGATGTGATTTTAATGTTATTATTTTATTGGGTCCTCTTGCTTTGGAATGGGTAAAATATGGATCTGTTCGAGTCAGCTGACCAAATAGCTGTCTTCCAAATTTCCTGGCATAGACCAGTGAGAGATCCCAGCTCTTAATCAGCTTGTTGAATCATTTCAATTGGTGCTCCATCAATCCCTGGAGCCTTGTTTTAGTTTAATGCTTTCAGTGCCACTTGGACTTCTTCCTTCCGTACCTTTGGTGCTTGCCCATATGTTGTCTTTTGAAATGGTTGACTGCTGACGAGTTCTTCTTGGTTCAGTGACTCTATGTGGTCTTTCCATCTTCCTTTTGGATCCGGTCAGATCCTTTTGATCCCTTTTCTCTTAGAATCTTTCAATATTTCAACCCGAGGCTTGAATTTTTTCTTGAGTTCTTTCAGTTTACGGTATATTTAGCATGTTTTTCCTTTTAGGTTTTTTTTTTTTAGCTCTAGGTCTTTGCACCTTTCATTACAAAATCTAACTTTATCTTCTTGAGCTTCCTTTTGAAATTTTTTATTCACCTCAGTCATCATTTCTTCCAATTGCGTTAGAAATGGTTTGATAGAGAGCAAGTTTCTGAGTTGCTTCTCACTTTAATCTTGTATTTCTTTCTTGTCTTTTTCTTCCATGTGGACTCATTTAGATGGCTACTTGCTTAAGACAGACACATCATTAAGACCCCAGGTGCTGCAATTCTTTCTGATAACCAGAAACCATCTGGTTTCTTCATCATATTTAGCTCTACCCCTCCGATCTTTAGTGATAATGTATTTTGGCAAGTATTGGGGAAGGCCACATCACAAAACAAACTGTTCCTGGATTAGAGCTTACAGCTACATGTGAGCTCAAATCCATTCCTGTATCAAAATTTTATATATACTTCATCTTCTTTAGAGGCAGCATTATCGGGTTATTAAAATTAATTTGAGTAGCATACAAGGGACATTTAGTAATTCTATTATGAATATCTATAGTCCAGCTAATGATATAGAAGTTAAAATACTAGAGTGAAAAGGAATATGTACATGTATATTGAATCTATTGGGCAGAGAATGTTTGCCTATACAGGTTGAAAACTTAAGTGACTGAAAACAATAAGGGTTGTACACAAGCCAAAAAAATTTCAATACCATTCATTCACTAAAGTAGATCATGCCCGCAGAACTAATACATGTCACAAATAGCAAAGAGAATATGGAAATGTATATTGGTCTTAGGTTGCCAATTCTAGAACTTCAAAAACAAAATTTTAATACATTCCCATAACTTCAAAATACATGATAATGGGATAGCAGTCATCTACTTCCTCCATCCCAGAGGGTTTCAGCTTTAAGGCCAAGAGAGTATTTCAGTCCCTTTACTAGCAGCCTTGTAGGACAGTCTATTAAACCAGGGTAACCACAGGAAACTGCTAGATGGCAGGATTTACTAAGCCTTTCCTGCTTCCTGCTAAATGCCAGATGACATCATCTGAAGTGGGGCCTTCTGTGAAAAAGTATTTTTTCCGATGTATGATAAGAGAGTGATAAATATTCATAAGCATTAGACAATCACATCACAATAGTGTTTGAGAGGCCATATTAAATGATTCCCTGATCTGAGAACAGGTGCCAGGTTCTTTGTTAGTGTTTATCAGAATAGTAGTGGTCTCATATAATTGTCCTTTTCTGATTGACTAGCTGCACCCAGTACAATGTTTTCTAAGTACATCCATGTCATGAGATATGAAGGAGCCGTGAAAGGAGGACCTTTTCTTCCGTCAGGTATCTATTTAGGACAGTTCGCAAACGGCTGTCCTAGCTTGTT